CTAGAATTTATTTACTTTTAACTCTAATCATTTCTGAATTATAGCACAAAACATTTTATCATTCTTGACAATATTTTTTTAATTGGACAGTAAGTTAAGCAAGTAATGCTATACAAAACCTGGAACTTACATTTTTGTTATCAATATTCTCAAAGTCTAACACAGTTTTAGTATTTTTCATTATATTAGTCTTCCATATCAACTTGAGCCCTGAACTCATTCATTTTGTTTTTAATAATCCTAACATAATAATAATATAAAATGACCTATAAAAAGCAAGTGAATAATTTGGTCCTTCAAGGCTGACCTTGCACACCCACCCTTAAAAAATTAAAAAATGTAAACCCAATTGTTATATTTCATCTATTCCACTGTTAAACTCCTGTAAAGTGTTAGTCTTCACTATTGCAATTTGTTTCACAAGCTAATCTTTCTGTTTGAAAATTAAAAACATCTTGACTAAAGCATAGCCTCTCTTGTTCAAAGATTAAACTTGTGTCCTCTCATTCTATTGTTTTTAAAGTATAGCACAAAGAAAATGAGAGGCATTCATCCTATATATCTATCAATTAACCTTGTAAACTTGTACCCTTCTTGTGTCAAGCATTAATGCAGCATTTCAAATAATCATTTTTTTTTTAAATCTGGAAATTCAAAGAATGATAACTAAATTACCTCTAATTATGATTCATTCACAAATTTGTGAAAGTTTACAAAACAAGATATTACTGGGGATGTTGTTTTTTTTATAAATTTATCATTCATACAGTTTTCTAAAATGCTTTACTCACTACCAAATACATTACTATGGTCATATTTTGTAAATAAAACAGTAAATTATGATATTTCAAGCAAACACTAATAAATTACAGTTTCACGTTTATAAGAAAAAAAAAAGACTACCTTACTTATTAACACGAGATTTTGGTCCACCTCTTTGCATCAAAAGCTGGGATGTGGGTACATTATCATACTCTGGATACCAACGTGCTTTCCAGGAGGAGGACTTGTTATTGATTTTATGCAGAAAGGCAAAGTTTGTCTTATGCAAACTATTCTCCAAGCTATATTTTGCCAAAAAACATATTAACAGAAATTGATATTCAACATTTTGAAGTAAGAGAATAACATTTATCACTACACGTGTATGTGTGTGAGTACGACATTCACTTTTTCATATAAAAATAGCCAAATAAATCAGCCCAAACTAAATGTAGCCTTTTACATATAAATACCAATTCAAAATTTAATAGTTTAAATAAATTATGTATACACTAAATCACCAGGCAAACTCTTCCACAATTTTATAATTTGTAGAGATGTAATTCTGAAGACCAAGTCTGGATCTGAGCTTTTAAAGTTTAAATTTCTTAGTCACGTTTCTATTTCCCCTATTATCAGTCCAATGCTCAGTTCCATCCAAGAGTTTCAGAATTTTAAACATCTAAGTCAAGTCACAATTATTCTATGGTTAACTTAAAACCATTTGTAGAAATTTTCTTTTAAAGTACCATTTCACCATTAGAAACGGAACATTATTATTTTTTAAAGTAAAAATATGTGAGATACGTGTTCAGTAAATCCTACACTATTCGTTTAGTGTTACAACAGGATATAAATTTATTTTTTTGGTGTATAGCATAAACATATAAAGAATGTTTCAGGTCCATTAAATAATATTAACTTCACATGTCAAGATTTAACTTTTAAAAACTTCAAGAGTAATAAGAGTTTTACTTATCTCAATAAGATTACACAAATATTGATTTCCATAGCTGAAAGATTTCTGAGGACTTACACTGGTTTTTCTACATGGTGCTTAGGCGGTACTGAAGTTGTTTTCTTTCCCACATAACAAGCCCAGTTGTTACCAAGAATGTCATGTGACCAACCAGGCAGGGTTTGATCACATATACTAGTGACATTTCCATGACTGTTCTTATATGCCGAAAATGCATAATACTTTCGATAATTAATAACCACCTCAAAGCCTTGATTATAAACAACTGTCCAGAATCCTTTGTTTCCATATTGATCAACTACAACATCTGGGAATAGCAGGGTCATCTGTAATGTGTGTACTGTTGGACCTAGACATGACAGACATTTCAAGCTTAGAAAACATATATGTTATAAGCTTATAATGTCACAAAACAATCTGTTCAACAATTACATCAACTGGCCTTTTAATGGAATTTAAGCAAAATTAACATTAAGAAATTAAAACATTTACAGTTGGTTTAAACCATTTAGAAATATAAAAGGTTCAAAAAGGTAAATGTTAAATAATTCTTAATTAGTCCATTTTTCACCAATGCAGGAAATATTTACACATTAACATGACAGCCATTGTTGCTTGCCATGTTACCTTAATGGCTGTGGTACCCTAACAAAATATACACCATTCACGGTTGTGATAGCCATAATCCTCTATAACTTTGGCTACTGTGCCAGTAAGATTAAAATTTGTATAATTCATACATGGGCAGCCCATGGTCACATGCATTGATATCATAACATACAGAAACAAAATTGATTTGCATGTAAGAAATATCAGTTAAGCACAATGTGATGAGAATGAAGTTTACTACTTGATCAACAGTAAAACACTGCTGTAAATACGTAGCAAGTTTATAAGAATATCTGTTGCTTGACAAATATAGTGCATTATCCCTAATCCATGGAGATAACACATATGTCCCTTTGAACAATCAACTCACTCACAATGATAGTACAGATATAGTATGAAAGTATTTCTAATAGGTACTTACCTCTTCTCACCAGATTAGCTGTTCTCGTTCAGTGCTGCCCTCTTGACAAATATAGTGCATTATCCCTAATCCACGGAGATAACACATATGTCCCTTTGAACAATCAGCTCACTCACAATGATAGTACAGATATAGTATGAAAGTATTTCTGATAGGTACTTACCTCTTCTCACAAGATAAGCTGTTCTTGTTCAGTGCTGCCCTCTTGACAAATATAGTGCATTATCCCTAATCCACGGAGATAACACATATGTCCCTTTGAACAATCAGCTCACTCACAATGATAGTACAGATATAGTATGAAAGTATTTCTGATAGGTACTTACCTCTCCTCACCAGATTAGCTATTCTCGTTCAGTGCTGCCCTCTATATACGAACTTTTTCCATATGCATGCATCAAGCCTTTCACCCCCCCCCCTATTGGAATTGCAAGATTCCAACATGTCTCATGCAAATCATCATGCAACACCTCCTCACCAACATGCTCACATGACTCCCTCTACACTCCTCTACCGAACTATCACTTCAAAGTTTGGCAGAAGATGTCAGCACCAGAGAAATGTAGGAAGGAAGTGTGATGGGAGGCAAGTAACTATCGGAAATACATTTTTGGTACAGGAAAATTATAACTTCCAATACAGTACATACCTCCTGCCACAACATTAGCTAGAATCCCACATTGATAAGGAGGAATCAATGAAAGGGAACAACAGAAGTACCCACAGAAAGCATCCGAAGGATAACCCTGAAAATGGGAGATTCCAATCTGAAGAGGGGAACTGCATCACTTCTAAGCCAGGTATACTCTTTGCCGAACTGTGGAATGTGTAAGATATAAGGGCAGAAAATGAGAGGAACACATCCAAGTGGGAGAGAATATGGTAGGAAAGTGATCCTAATCATAGAAATATACAGTACCTCAATCCCACAATGACAAAGATGGGTAAACAAAGGATGCGCTCCTAGGTGTAGAGTGGCTAGGCCATGGTGGGCCATACTCAGTAAGTCAAATACGTCCAAAACCTGCCCATGGGGTACAGACATCAGAATGAGGGAAGGATGAGGATCATATCGTCTTCACCTCAAACCCAAGAACTGAAGAATTGAGAACTACTCCAATTTCTGGGTATGACATGAGGATTAGCTCTGAGCTATCAATCCGGAAACTTGACATCTGGTATTGAAAGTATGTCTATTGCATGCAATCAACTTCCCAACCCTGAAACAGGCCAGGACCATCCAAATGGCAATAACATTCCCGTAAAAAGAGAGAGCAAGGGATAGTCAAGGACAGAACTAAAACAATCTTAAGTACCATCGTTGTGACCCACAACACAGATGGAGGAAATCAAGGGAGGAAAATAGACAACCCGAAACCTGTGTGAAGACTTATGTTGATCGGTTCAATCTAAATCCAAAACCTACCCGCGGGGTACCGACATCCATGCGAGGGTAGGATGAGGGCTCCCAATCGAAAGGGTGAACTGCATCCTGACATCTCACTTCGTTGTCATTGGTTATCACAAATAGGAGGATATCACATCATCTACACCTGCTGAACATCGCCTACTCTGTAACTGAATAGCTATTGTGTGGAACTCATTTAGCAGGATGCCTCCATGGTCTACCACACCAATGGCTTGGAACTGGAAAGAGGTAAGGTCTCCCATACTCCACTCAAATAAAAGAGAGAGACAAAGCAGTGGAGAGCCTGGAGGAATGTCATCACCTGAGACAGTGCAATTGGTGACCACGAAACCTTATTTTGAAAAGCAGACCATTCTGAGTTATTCACTCCAGGCATGGCAGGGATGGGCAGCAATCCCCTTCTGCTTTATTCATGCGGTCCAAGATGGACAATGGGAAAAATGAAAAGGTGGGAATAAAAACCTTGGGAAGAATGAGGTACAGGTTCGATGGCTCATTGCAAGAGCAATTCCTGACAGATGGTGGCTGGTTACAGGATCTCAAGGAGGAGGGAAAGAAACTGGACAATGAATCCTTCTGACAGAACCTGAAGCATCATTGATTGCCAACGAAAGAACACCAGCAATGAAGAAACTCGAACAGCTGATCATCCACCACTAGTGGCGATGGGGGGTGTGTTGTCAAGAAAAGCAATGAGAAGAAATAGTCTAAGTAGAAGGAATGGGTAATAGCTGGGAAGAGAAAGGATGGGAAACTGTAATTGGAGACATATAAGGCTCTGAGTGAGACAAATTGGCTATGATATTCATAAGGGTGGATTGTTGTTGGACTGATGTCACCCGAGGTTCTAGAGTTTCTGGGACCATATCAAAAATGTAATGCCTCACAAATGGGGCCATACCAAAATCCCTAAGATATGTCAAGGGTAAACAGACTCGAGCCAATACAGCATCATGACCTATAATGTCCCAACAACAAAGAAACCATGTATGTAATATCAGAGCCTAAGACATCATGTGGGCTGAAGTAGAGGAAAGAAGGGTCAAGGGTATCTCCAGAAAACCCCTCAGAATTTCTGTGGAGAGCCTCAGATCAAAGGTGTAAGGAAGAAAGATACCATAATAGATTTGTAAGGGTAAGATACAAGTGAGAATATTGGGCATGGGTAAGACTGACAGATGATTCAGGAGTTGCCTCCCAAATAGGAAATAAGGAACCTAACAACTGTTGGTCTAAAAAATGGATAGTCAGCACGAAGATAGGAAAGTGAGAACTGATCTGAAGTCCACGGGGGGTGCGGTATGCTAATCCCCTCTCTTAACTGGGAAGCAAAGTGATAAGCATGAACCCAAATATCAGGTTAGGGAGGAAAAACTAAAAAGGATTGAGAAGATTGTTCATGCAGTAAGGATGAGATGAATAAGAAATAGGGGAAGGGATAAAACGTCACTAACCTGAGACACAAAATCCATAAAGACAGCATTAGACTGAGCAGACTCATCAGGTTGGGAATGGGAAGGAATGGCAAAATCTGGAAGTGGAAAAAGACCATCAAAGTCCTCATCAGCCTGAAAAAGATCAGCCTGTTCTGGAGGAGCCTGGGTGGTGTCTGGGGACAAAGGTTGTTCCATGTAATGTTCCCGGCATATAAAAGCAGATAAATCCACTGTCGGATTGCCCACACCTGAGACCTGAGAAAAAATGCTGGTGTAACCCCCAAAGTGGTAACATTAATTTCGGAATTCATCACACAGAAAGGTTCGAGTGCAGAAAATAAAGTGACTAGAATTAACTGACAAATACTAATAGAAGAAACAGGCTGAATGAAAGCAAAGTAATTAAAGAAACAACCACTTTGTCAGGAACCAAAGTCAAACGTGAAGCATTAAACAAACAAAACAGCACATCCGCACAAGCGCTGCCAGATTAGAAGTGATAATTTGGTAGAGGAGTGTAGAGTGAGTCACATGCATCATGTGAGCATGTCATGCTCCTACTGGTGAGGGAGTGACGCATGATGATTTGCATATGAGACACGTTGGAATCTTGCAATTCCAATAGGGGGAGTGGAAGGCTTGTGGCATGCGTAAAAAAGTTTGCATATAGCGGGCAGCACTGAATGAGAATAGCTTATCTTGTGAGTAGTGGTAAGTACCGTATTGGAACGAAGAATTCAACCAATAGGCCATGTTTCACTCACATGGATTGAGTCAGCATCATTACAAAATACAGCACTTGGAATATCAACATAAACCTAAGATTCTAGTCAAACTTTATACATATTTTTTTCAAATATTATTAAGGCTTTACATATCCGAAACATCACAAAATCTGCCTCAGAAAACTATGGAAAGAGTGAATCACTTTATTATATACCTAGTTGTGTTTAATTAACTTTAATAGTGCAGAACATACCATCTTTTCTTTGTTAAGATAAGCCATGCTATGCTTTGTTAATGTAGTTTCAAATCATTACTTGTAGCTTCCTCTCTGATACATACATGAAATATAAAATATTGTATGAAAAACAGTTTTATTTTATATTTATAAACAACTCATAGGGATAAGTCAATACAGCATATGAAATACAGTTCCTGAAATATATTTTAATAATCAATAAGCATCATAACTACACAATAACAAATAAATTATTCATAAAAATTAATTATGAAGCAGCAAGTTACCCAGCTACTTTGAATATAAAGCTGACTAAGGGAGACAACAGGAGACTTTCTAATTATTCATATGGCATCTTGTCTCTATCTTAAATATCCATTCATGATGTGGATCCACTTAGAAGGTTGAAACACACTTTTCCGTGACTTAAAAACATTTTATTTGCTTTACCTAAATACCATTGGTGTTTGAATAGCAGTATTTGGGACAAACAATGTTTTTGAAAGTGTGTCTGTAGTCATTTACATTTCCCCTTCCAGATGGCCCTGGTGCTCCTTAGGCAAAAATGACAATGTCCTTGTTTGATGTCTTAGAAAAAGAAGGTAGGACCAAGGCCAAATGGCCTTGCCCTGAAAATGATGGATTCCTGAGATACAGTAAAATATTTAAATACATTTTGTACCATCAAAGTTAAAATTGGGAAAATAATTATCTTTGTAAATATAGCAAAAATCTAAAAGTCAAATGCCTGTATTATTTTCTTAGACTATTACTTAGTGTTTTACAGTAAAAGTAAATAAACAGGTATTAAGGAAAAAATTTACCACTAAATAAAAAGCAATGTATGACTGACTACTGAACTTGAAAAAAGGAGCCAAATAAAATAGGGATCCAGCTAATGATCACATAGCAAACTAAGCCATCTCAGCTTCACATGGAGAATAAAATCCCTACATTACTGGCTTCCCCACTTTGTCTATCAAAAGCTTCAACTTTCATCATTACACCTTTCCTTTAGTTAACTTTATAATATTACTTTTATGGCTATTTTACAAAAGAGTAACATTCTACAATATGAAATTCTGGTTCGATTTGTTTTGTCCATATAAATTCAAGATGGCTTAGTCTGCTATGTGATCATTAGCTAGATCAAGTGATATGTCCACTTCCATCCTTATCTTGTTTAGTTCCTTTTTTAAAAGAACATAGCTTTTTTATTTAGTGACAATTTTTTTCCTGATACTTGTTTGTTTAATTTTTTTAAAAGATAGAATATGTGGGTTATTAGAGTAATAGTGTATTCTAAAGCTTTATAAATTCCGCATAGAATAATAATAATAAAATAGGTAGTCAATGATCACGAAGACTGTTTTGCTCTATGAAATGATGATAAAATTACAGTTATTGCTAGAACTAGGCCTCTTGAAGAAAGATGATAATGAACGAAAATAAGAAATCTTAGTTTTGGCTATTTGCCTGTTTTTGACTTTGGGATGCTCTGGATAGGCAAAAAGTAGCATATACACATGAGATAGAGTGACTATGCCAGGTAGCTCTTCATATCTAGCTTCTAATGGCGTGTACAAAAGAAAATCCAAATGATATTTGCATTACTTTAACACGGGCATCCGTGCCATCCTTACATAGAGGGTGCTTGCACTCTCTCTGATATTGTGTTAAACATATTTAGAAAGTATTTTTCTTTCCTTTTTAATAATTATAGCTTACATGACCATACTTACAAATCAGGTTACAGTATTCAATTGTCAGCCATTAATATAAAATCAAATTGATTGAATTAAATGCTTATAACATTATGTAATATAGTAAACACATGTAAACATTAAAACTAATGATAAGAAAATAGAATAAGCTTCAAACTAATGTCTCTTACTCTTACAACTTACGAGTTTTTTTTTTGCATTGACCTGCCTCATTAACACATATAAAGAAACCTGAATCGCTGAAAGTGAAACATCAAGTAAAGCCAAAGGACAAAACTTCAACAAGGAACCTTTTGATTCATCTTGGCTGTCCTAACCACTAAATTAAACTAATCCTAAAATAAATCTCAACATCAGCCTTATAATTTAAATACTTATCAAGCTCTCCTTTTAATTACTTAAATGCCTCTACCACATCCGAACTGTGTTAGTGTTATTAAGCGAGTGTTACTGTGTTAGAAAAATAAAGCGGTCTTAGCTTGATTCTGGTCCGAGTTAACTCAGATTAAAAACGTAGATAAGAAATATCATTACCAAGAGTAGTACAGTTAATTGAGGAATCCCCACTTCTTTCACTTTCGAAGAAGTACCATCTACCAATAACTTCTTCATATGTGCAGTTAGCAGGTGTATCACCCAGAGTAACAGTAACATAATCCAAGTTCAACAATACAAAACACAGAAACACGAACTTCGTAATGCGTTTAACTTTACCCATTTTCACAATCTTTCAGTTTCACTGTCAAATGTTACAAGTAATATACTTGAAAGATAAAATATATTCTAAAGTCTAACGCAAACTATCTGCTAAGATTGCCCAATTTTTACAAGTATCCTCTCAACCTAATGAACTATGAATAAATGTCAAGAGACAAGCACTAGGTAAAACACGGAACGGCGTTCAGATCCAAGCCAAACGTACTCACCAGCTTTCCACAAAATAGGTAAAAAGCAGAACATTATACCCCTAAAAATAACATTTAGAATGAAGCTACAAATAAAATATCTGCGGACTTACAACGCTAGAATCAGGGTTTCGATAGCAGTGGTGGGCAGAGCACAGATAGCCCATTGTGTAGCTTTGTGCTTAATTACAAACAAACAAAACAAATATAATACTCTGCTTAGCTGAACTTCAACGAAATCATTATTATCTCTTTAGTAATTAAAGTATACTCCTTTG